ATAACTCTTTTTGTAACAACTGTTTAAGTGTACGACATAAAACCTTTTCATGTACTTCAAAACATAATTGTTCTCATTGTTATATGCGACATCACTCATTATTGCATTTCAATACAAATGTTAAATCTAGTAACTGTAATATTGGTGCAGCAGCGATGTCCGACCCCGCTAATATTTCCGCTACCGCTCATGACCCCGCCCGCACTACGGCGGCCGGTCATGCCGAGTCGAATATTATGACTCATTCTCCCGCTATTCAATCACCGCACACGTTTGAAAATAATGCATCGGTTTGTACAGTTTCGTGCGATCGTAGTAAACGTTTTCAAACGACAACTTTATTAGGAACCGCTAAAATAAAAGTTATTGATTGTAATAACCGCACTCACCTTTTGAGATGTCTAGTAGACCCTGGCTCTCAGAGTGATTATATTTCCGCTGATTGCTGCAAGCGTTTATCGCTTCCTATACATAAACAAACCCGCTATACGGAAGTTCAAGGCATAGGAGGAGCCACACAAAAAATTCTAGGCTTTACTAAACTTAAGTTTACTTCTCGTTTCAATAATAATTATGAATATGCTATACAGCCCATGATAGTTGAACAAATTACGTCCCAGCTTCCCGACTCGCGCGTAGACGTGACGGCCATACCTTTTATAAAAAACTTACCGCTCGCTGATGACGAGTTTTCACAACCTGGACCTATAGACATGCTTTTAGGAGTTAAACTTTATTGTAAAACTAGCTTTGGTCGCCCGCTACGCGGGCTACAAAAGCTAGATCTGCGATGCTGGCCGCTCCGGGCTTCGCCCTACGCGGCGCTCGGCCTGCGGCCTCGCATTCGGAGCTCGGCCTTCGNAAAGTCGATTTTTGTAAAACCACTGTTTTTGATATATCACAGTGTCGTCGCAAATGGACGATATGGGACGTAGGTAGTACGTAGGCTTGTAATGAAATTAGTACCTTTTTATTTTCAAGAAAAAGAAGAAAAATGAAAATCTTATTTATTAACTAGATGTTATTTAAAGTTATAAAAAACATTCCGATGTTAATTTTGATGTATTATTTTTGGTTGAACTTTTAATCAGATTGAGGAAAATATTGTAAAAGGGCTTCCCTAAAATAATTAACTTACACGTGCGGAAACATTGTAAAGTATTTCAATTTCAACGAAATGATACCAATCCGATTTTATTTTTGTAAGAGGTCGTTAACTAAAGCTCTTTGAACCCAACTCAATAATGGAGTACAATTTCGACTATCAAGTACAGCTCAACACAAAAAGTTTGGACTACAAAAAACAATAGAGTACCAAAGCCCTGTTTTACCAAAATTACACGTGGAACCCCAATTTCTAGCAAAACAACGAAAACAATATCCAAGGATTATTTTCGAAATTCATAATGGAAAATCTAGCGTCCGTTAGCACAAAAACAGAGTTTGCGTGAAAACGTTAACTCAAAGGCGTGTACCATTACTGTGTCAAAGTGCTACTAACCAAAAATAAGGTCAAGTGATTATCGAAGCTGAGCGGCGAGCTCATCTAGCATTTATTGCGCTTGTGTAAGGTCCAATTTGGATTACGGGATCGCAGCTTGGTCTACTCCACTTTGTATGCATCCAACGAAGGGTTTGATTGCTTTGTGTTTACACAGATAAATAAAGCGATTACTTACAGGATCCACTTTGGTTGAGCCCGCGGAATTGTTGAGTGTCCATTCGAAGGTATCAGGTGGAGGGAACGCGTCGACTTCACAGATGACACTCGATGGTTCTTGAACTGCCGCGCCGATCATTTTTATCTCTTTCTTCCTGCACAGCGGCTTGTCTGCACAAAAAAGAACGTTATCCTTTAAGTGTAAAGCTCATTTTGGAAGGAATGGTCCTGTTTAATCGCTACATCCTCTGGGGCACGAGCTCCGAATAATTACAGCTATTAATAACTAGTGGAAGAACTGGGGTAGTAGATGGATTTTCACAACGTTATTATGGATCGGGGCTCGGAATAAAAATGTGAAGTTTCCCTTTTCTCTTCGTTTGGTCATAGTAGAAGTATACTCAGTGGGTTTATATTCATATGCCTGTTAACAGTTTGACATTGACGTTCTCTGGTGTTTGATTTAAATACATTAAGGCTGGGTTGTACCATCTTACGTTAACTATAACAAACGTCAAATATCTGTCAAACTCCATAGGTACAAAAACACGGGTTATCGTTATAGTTACGGTAAAATTTAGGTGGTGCAACTCAGCCTTAAAGTAACAAAGAATCTTACTAATATTATAAAGCTCAAGAGTTTGTTTGTTTACTTGAACGCGCTAATCTCCGGAAGTACTGGTCTGTTTTGAAAAATTCTTTCAGTGTTAGATAGCCCATTTATCGAGGAAGGCTATAGGCTATACAACATCACGCTACGATCAATAAAACAATGAAAAATGTAGCGAAAACGGGTTTTCACGCATACGAAGTCGCGGGCACAGCTAGTGTTCATTAAAATGAATATTGCCTCCCCAACCCGTGCGCTTGGGATTATAGGTAAATCCTCCATTTGCCACTTTTACTAAATTATAGAGGGTCTTCCTCTTGCAAGGGAGACAAATGACCTGATGATAACGAACATTAAGTACTGTAAAGGTAGGTCTAAGGACGATAAGACGTAGGTAAAGAAAAACGTTCGGTTTTTCTAGACTATCTTATTCGTATCAGATACGAATTGCGGAATAACCTATGTGTGTGTTGTGTATGTTATATAAAGGGTAAATTGCAAATAGTGCTCTAGTTACCAGTTATTCATCTTTCGCAGAATTTAGTAGCCATCAGTTCAAGTATAAATGTTGCAATTCACGAAGGCGAGTCAGCTTTAGCGCTCCTGCACACGACGCCGCCGCCTCGCCGCCGCGCTTTTGAACTGTTTAAGCCCCGGATACACTAGGGAACATTTTGTCCCGCAACATGACGCGCAACACAAAATATACGTGACGCTGCAACGTTGCATAGTGTCCCGCAACATGACCCACAACATTGTACGTGACGCGGGGCATGTTGCTTGCTCCCGCCTCGAGAAGTGTGGTTGACAAAATGTTCCGCGACATGTATCTCGGCACATTCCACGTAGTTATTGAGGAACATGTTCCGCAACATGTTGCTTCATTTGTCCCCTAGTGTATCCGTGGCTTTATACGCGCCGCGTGAAGCCCGCTGCCGCCGCGCTGCCGCCGCGCCGTCAAAGCCGGACCGGTGAAATTATGCTTTGACGGCGCGGTGGCGGCGCGGTGGCGGCGCGGCGGCGGACTTTACGCGGCGCGTATGAACATTGTAGGGGCGCGGCGACGGTGCGGCGGCGGTGCGGTTGCGGCGTCGTGTGCAGGAGCGCTTAGTGGTGGCTCGCTACTGTTCGTTTTTCAAAATTTTAGATAGATACTCGTATTAGGTACACTATTGTTATGTGCATGTACACGTACACACACAAGTAAAGCTCACTAACCTTCGTGAGTTGCAAGAACTATAATATCAACTGTACTTAACTGTGCCTACTGATGTACTCGTATGTCAACTATAGTTTGGGGTCGCCAATTACAAGCGGCTTGGGTCATTGAATACGCCATTCCGATGAGCTTGTAAGTGTATTATGTTATTGATAAATAATATTATTTACTAGTATGTTGTATGAAAAGTTCTCGAGTGGCGACCACGGGCTGGAAGACGTAGCGTGGGCAGGCCTCCTACTAGGTGGACCGACGATCTCGTAAAGGTCGCGGGAAGAGCCTGGATGCGGGCAGCGCAGGACCGTGCATTGTGGAAAGCCTTGGAGGAGGCCTTTGTCCAGCAGTGGACGTCATTTGGCTGAAACGAACGAACGAACTAGTATGTTATTTCTTTCTCTTTTTACACAATGCCAGTGTACTCGTAATTCAGGCAAGAATAAAGGAAGACGAATGATGGCCGATGGCTACTGAAGAGTCATAAATCTATATATATAAAAGAAAGTCGTGTTAGTTACTTCGCTTATAACTCAAGAACGGCTGAACCGATTTAGCTGAAAATTGTCAGGGAGGTAGTTTAGAGCCAGGAGAAGGACATAGGATACTTTTTATCCCGTTATTTATTGCCAATAAGGCGGAACAAAGTTCGCCGGGTCAGCTAGTATGTGGTATAAATGTACTGTTGTGTTTTATTAAGCTTATAGTACCGAAAAAGTTGATGTAGAGCAGTATTTAACTGTCAACTCTGATCTAACTGTGTTTTACGTCGGTATTCACAAACATTACTATGAGGTCTCACAGTGCGCATGGACACACAGGGTGACACACGAACCAATCACAGAGCTCTTCTCAACGCTGTGGGTTCGAATTGCTGCATCATCGTTTGTGTTACTACGAGCGTTATTGTATGACGTGATGTATTTTCCATAAAGTTAATCTTGCGATATCTAAGCAGCAGCATTAGGTAAGGAACAAAGTCTGTAGATAAGTTAATTAACGACGGAGCACACTTGTCAACCCGGAAACGGATCGTAACCGCATTAACTCGAGGCGGTCAGTATTCTTTGTATGAAACTCTGTAGTGCAACACACACTTAGCCGCACCGTAAAACGCCTAGCTTCGAGTTGAAATGCGATGAGGTGTTGATTCCTTTTCGGGTTGATGAGTGTGCTATGACCTTTAAACTTTAAGGCTGGGTTGCACCATCATAATTTAACTTTGACAAACGTCAAAAATCTGTCAAACTCCATACAAAAATCAGCGGTTATCGTTATAGTTACGGTCAAAGTTAGGTGATGCAACTCAGCCTAAGTTTATAGGCTTGATACAGGTAAATTAAATCCAATATAAGTACGGTAGGACGACGGCACGTCAAGGTAAATACTGTGGGATCTTGTGCAGTCGTAATAGGGGCGAGTTTGCAACAGAAATGGATAGCCTGATGTGCTGTCTTGTGTACATTACAATTTGATATTCCATAACAGGCAATAGTTTATTCAGCCAAAGGATTAATTAGCGAAAACAGTTATTATTAAAGCTAATAAACTATTCATGCTATAAATTTAAACCGGCTTAGCGACCATTATTGTTATTAGTTATAAAGCTATTTGTGGTTAATTTAATAGTTAATTCGTCCACCGCCAATTAACTTTGTTATCTAGAGAATGGTTTAATTACAAACCAACTAATGTGAACGATATCTATATATATAAAAGAAAGTCGTGTTAGTTACTTCGCTTATAACTCAAGAACGGCTGAACCGATTTAGCTGAAAATTGTCAGGGAGGTAGTTTAGAGCCAGGAGAAGGACATAGGATACTTTTTATCCCGTTCGAAATTAAAAAAAAGTCTGCTTATTTATTGCCATTAAGGCGAAACAAAGTTCGCCGGGTCAGCTAGTTAATGAATAAAAATAATTATTTTTGAACTTACGAGTAATATGGTAAAAATGTATTGTGTGAAACCCTTAGAATGACTTATGCCCATTTTCACCATCAATCCCTAATTATTTGTAAGTGACTCCTATCGGGTTTCTTTTTTCATAGGGGTCACATAAAAATTTGAGATGATGGTGAAAACGGCATTAAGCTCTTAAATATACGAAACCTTACCACATGAGGTGGTAGAACTGAAGTATATTTTTAATGTACAACGAGAATGCTCTTAGTCTGCATCTCACCTGATGGAAATTGATGACCGGTGTGCCTACCATGAGTTTACGTTAGGTGAGCTCGCTAGCGAATACGTCAAAAAATTCTATGAAGATTTTATTTCTTGAAAGTAGCCGCTAGGGGCGCTGCACAATATGTCATACATTTAAATGTCATTTTTTACGCAGTCGCTAGCGAGCACACCTAACGTAAACTCATGGTAGGCACACAGGCCATGGTGATAAATCCTCATCCTCATCCAGGGCAACTGGCCATTTACTTCTTACTGCCAGAAAAAAAACAATGCTGTTAACGTTGTTGTCTACTCACGGACATTGCCCGCGGGCGGTGTGACCGGAGGACCGGATCCTGACGCACTCTCTTCAACGACTTTGCACAAAACGGTCTCGATAACATTGTTAATTATTTATACCGAATAGACAACTAATTGTATACAGTCCACTCTTTCATTTAATTAACTTCTACTACACTCACTATCGAAGTAACAGTTGTCGTTACGGCGACAGATTTGAGTAAGGTGTGGTAAGATAGCCAGGCGGCCTTGGAACAAACTCTCCCTCCAACCAAACCGAGCAAAGACTTTTGCTCTCACTGGCAGTCAAACCCGGAACTTCTGGGTTTGAGTCAGGTGATCATTACCACTCCATTCACAGAGGCAGTATCATCATCATCATTTCAGCCATAGGACGTCCTCTGCCTCCCCAAATGATTTCCACAATGGCCGGTTGGTGGCGGCCTGCATCCAGCGCCTTCCCGCTACCTTTATGAGGTCGTCGGTCCATCTTGTGGGTGGACATCCTACACTGCGCTTTCCGGTACGTAGGGTCCAGAGACAGTAATTATCAGTAAAATAAATAAGGATAATTTTTAACAAAATGACTCAGTCTAAACTTTTGCAATTTATGTTCGTATAAGACGTTAAAAGTGAATAAGAAACTAGCGGTAAACTGAAAACAAAGGACTTCAAATAAATTTTGAATATTGTGTACAAAAGTTATTATTATAGGGAACAGAGTTTCATGCAGTTAATTCTTATTCCATCCCTGTCCACCAACAATTTAAAGTCAATTTCGTAGAGCACCTTTAGATAATTACTATTGACGACGTTCCACGATACGCGAAAGGTAAACACAGAACAACGAAGTCAGCATACCCGGTCTTCTTTAACTCTCCTTGTTTAAGGAAAAACAAAGTGAAAGGTAGTGGAAACACACGTCGCACGCATATCGACAGCTTCAAGCTATCAATAAATTTTAACTTGTCAGTGAAGTCGTAACAAATGTTTCTATCGCCTTGCTGGATTGAGACAATACTGTAGATATTTGATTATAATCATAAAGTCCTTAAATACTAATCCCACGTAAAAAATAATATACCTGATTTTATGATAATCATCAGGTCATATCTCCACTGCAGGAGTATGCCTACTTTTTTAACCTAAATTGGCCTACATTCTCCACACTGCACTGGCCAGACAGTTTTGGGAGGATTGCTCGATTGTCATTTTTTTTTCTCCAGCCAACTATCTTAAAAACCTGTCTGTTCTATTTAGTCTATGCTTTTACACGATGGTTAAACGGGGGCGAAGCCTTGGTTCGATTAATTGATTGGAAATTAGAAACCGTTTGTGGTTTTCTCTTGTATTTATTTTAACTGTCTTCTCTGAAAATAGCGGACTCGCTCTAATTTGGATTACAGGATAGAAAACGGTAGTATTTTTTTTTATGGAATTTGGAGACTTGCTTCTTTTTCTCTTTTATTTCGTTGATAACGTTGTTTCGCAGACTTTTCAAGCTTTTACTTACCGTGAGATGGAACAAAATTTGATCGGCAGAAACAAAGAAAAAAAAATCTTATGGGTAATAGAGTTGCATAGAAAGAGCAATTTGTTTAACAAGAAATGTTAAAATACCCACGGATGTTTTAAATCTCTTAATTTATTGAGAACATACGAAAATGACATAAATAAATATGTAATAGTTTTATATCACGAGACGAGAGCGTATTTATATCTTAAAGGCCGGCAACGTACTCGTTACGCCCCCGGGCCTGCGGAGCGGATGTCTAAAGGCAATGGTAATCATTTACCATCATGTGATCCGTCTGTTCATTTGCCTTTTGACCCGTAAAAACGCAAAAATAATCCTAACTGTTGAATGATAGTACGTTTTTCTCAAAAATCGTTTCTTCCAAAATTTTCTCTCCATTTGATATTTTTTACAACAAAACGTTAATGATCATTATTTTTAGTTTCTCATTTAAGCACTGTGCATGGGATAATAGCTCAATTTATTATGAAAATGCTTCAGCTGCATAATGGTCCGCCAAGTGCCACTTTTGGAGGCTTCAGTCCCTTTGATCTGGGGCCGACTGGAGCGTTAAAGGTTTTTCTAATAACCGAGGGATGTTATCACAAAGTCCTTATTTGGCTACGATGGAGAAAAAGTTTTTATCGATATTTTATGTGTGAAATAGTGAAGTTTTCTTACTTAAATTGAGTGTTCAGTGTATTCATTATTGAGAATGAGTATGCTTGAAACTCTGTACTTCTTCGATTCTGTTATTAAAAACATATTCTTGTACGTTTTTTTGGAAGCATATTTTAACTAAGATTTACTATTAATCTCATTATTATTCGTTATTAATTCGTTTCAGCCAAATGACGTCCACTGCTGGACAAAGGCCTCCCCCAAGGTTTTCCACAATGAACGGTCCTGCGCTGCCCGCATCCAGGCTCTTCCCGCGACCTTTACCAGATCGTCGGTCCACCTAGTAGGAGGCCTGCCCACGCTACGTCTTCCAGCCCGTGGTCGCCACTCGAGAACTTTCCTGCCCCAACGGCCATCGTCTCTACGAGCTATGTGCCCCGCCCACTGCCACTTGATTTTAGCAATTCTGCGAGCTATGTCGGTTACTTTGGTTCTCCTGCGGATCTCCTCATTTCTGATTCGATCACGCAGGGAAACTCCGAGCATAGCCCGATCCATCGCCCTTTGGGTGACCTTGAGCCTTCTTATGAGGCCCATAAGAAGAGTAGAAAGAATAATATTAATTAAAATAAATTAAAATTTAACAGATTAATGTTTGATAAAAATCAGGTAAACACATAAAAATTATATGGTAAGTAAAATGAAGTGGTACCCTAAGGAATTGTTTTTCCATGTCATTGTCATGTGCCTTCTAGCGCTTAGAGACAAACTACGAAAAACAAATGAAAGTGGACACAAAAGTTACCGTCTCTTCCGAGAAAGTACTAAGTTCGCTGACGAAAAGTCATGTTATTATTTTGAATTTACTTAACAAAACTCATTATTGTCCCCGAAGATTAAAGTCCCTGTCAATAGGAAGGATAGTTCACCAACTCCAGTCAAGATACAATCAATAACTAACTTAGCAACACGTAAGGGCCAAGCCTTGTTAGCAAATAGGTTATGGACTAAATATAGCTGTTGTTATGTCCTTGTAACGTAAACTTACTAAGCAAGGGATGCTTATTTTCATAATAAAGCAGCAGGTTTTCTTTTTTGTTTAAAATCAAGGACACAAAGTACGTTAGTTCCATCATACTCGTACCATTTGGGTTTGATCCAGTCAATCCAGTTTTACAAAATCCACTAATAATGTAGGATCCCGCAAAACTGGACCGTCGTGTGAACGCTCGTGTGTGCTTGAATTCTAATTACGAGTTCGAACGGATCGGTTTTTTGCAGGACACTGCAAATGGGATGTTCGTGTGAACGTTACTATTAAAACGTGTATACTACTAGACGGGATTCTGCCAAAAATAGTTCCTGCAAAAAACAAGTCCTAGTTCTATAATATAAATTATAAAATTCATTGTTGAATAATATCAGAGACAAACATAAGGCTCTCACCAGGTAGCCATAAGTTTGATAGTTCTCTAATGAAGATTAATCAATACTGTTCATCTTCCAAAAACTGCCCCAAACAGGATTCGAACTTCTAAGCTCAGCTGCCAAACCACTAACCCAAGCGGTTGTTTGAGCAGTATTGTTTCTAATATGAATGCCGTATAGTACCGTGAATAGAACAAACCGATTAAGTGAGATACAAACGTTCTAAATATAGACATTTCGGCTGTAAGTTATGCATGAGAAGAGATGTTTATTTAAGGTTACAGACGCTAGTTTCGATGGGAAACCTTTATAATGTATACTATGAAATGAAGATTGATAGTTGATTCAATCTCGAGCATAAGTAATTTGTGGTCTCAAATTGAAATTACCGAGTCTTGTTAAAAGGAGAGATTTATGATAACAATTCATAAAACAACTCACAAAAAACGGTATGCAACGATGCATTTGCAAGTTGTTTATGAGTTGTTACGGTTTCGAGGTTGATTTTCCATCTTCTTCTCTCTCTCTCCTTGGAGACAATCCACAAGTAGTAACCTTTTTCCCTGTTTCTTCATTACCAAGTTCTGGCCAAACAAATAAATAATATCGGCATCTCATACATAAAGTAAAAAAAAAACAATGACACTGAGATGAAGCTAAAATATTATTTATTGGTCCTTCTAGCCGGATAGTGAAAAAAAAACAACTCACAGACAAATTGCATATAGGGTAACTTCCCATCTCTTTCCACATTGGAAGCAGTATACATGTCAAGCTTTGGTCGAAAATATGGCTGAGTTGCACCACCCTACATTCTTTGACCGTAACTATAACCATAACCGATGTTTTTTGTATGGAATTTGAGAGATTTTTGACGTTTGCTATAGTACAAGTATGATGGTTCAATCATTCCTTAGTGCCAAGTTTTTCCAAAAATGAGAGAAAAAGCTACTCACAGACGACTTGCATATGCAGCGGGGGTGACTTCCCATCTCCCTCCACGTTGGAAGCAGTACACGTGTACTTCCCCGCTTGATGCCGGGACACATTGCGTAGTGCCAAGTTAGAGTTGCCCGTCAGTATGATGCCTCCTGACGGGTTGTGTTGGAGCAGAATGCCCTGAAAGAGAGGGAAGATTTAGACTTGTTCCTTACTGAACTTGGGCTTGAATTTATCGCTGTTATTATCTATGCAACAAAACAATCGCAAAATTTTTCAAATCTGACAGCGCAGCTAATGAGAGATTTTAAAACGTGGGTCAGTGTCGCCTGAAAAAAAAGTTGAATCAATGGACTCTATATGACCTTGCAAACAATGAAAGTACTAAGTATTGAGTTGCAATAATATGAATAGTTTTATTTTGCGTTAATTTGAGTTAAATCGTTTCCTTTTGCATTTTCACATTATCAAATCTAGGTAAATAAGCAAATCGTGTTTTTCAATCATGTAATAGGTAATATTTTACATATACCATCCGAAAAAGGCTTCACTGTTTGAAACCTTTCTCCTAAAATCATCCATGTGCCAATGCGTTCACATTATAAAGTCCATTAAGGGTTTTAAAATTCAATTAATCCCTTACATATTTCAAACATGGGCTTAACAACATACTGTTTTAAATTCAGTTTTGTGTACATTGAATGAAACCAATGATAGAAAAAAAATATTGAAAAAATTTTACGTTCAGAGTTAAATATTATTTTCAAATCGCTCTGTTAGGATTCGTTAGTGAAAGAAATACTTTGATACGTTCTCAAAAAGGACTTTTGAGAACATAAATAACATTTTTTCTACATAAATAAGTCATGAAATACATACCTAAATACCCATATAAAGGCAACGTTATAATTTCATAAGCATCAAAGCGCTCCGATCTAATTTCCACTTACAATATCGACCTTTGACAAGAACAACAGGGGCTTCGAAATTTCCTCAATTCGCTAACAGTATCGCTAAGTAGGGCATGAATTCTGAGTTCAACTCACATTATGCTCCCAAATTACTTTGTAAGCGGGCGGATTGGCATCAACGCTGCACTCGAAATATACGTCGTCCCCTTCTTCGATGTCATTAGGGTTCATTTTGGCCCCCAATTTTATTGTTGCAACAGGTACATCTGGAACACAAGTGGGTTTTGTAGATCTTATAATAGAACACATTCAGGCAAAGGGTTGTTTTCCTTGGGTCTACTTACTACTGTTCCTCCTACGCGTACTATATTATATTGTAGTCCATTGTCTTAAGCTTGTAGTCGGTTGTCTTTCAAGTTATAGGATTTAATAGACAACGGACTAAGAGGTTTGCTCAAATTGGGGCTAAGTGGCGCAATGTTATTTTATTCCAGAACATTTATTATTTTGTTCGTTTTTTATTGGGACATGTATAATACTCGTACAAGTCTGATACCCCAATGTAAAAAATATCTTAGTCGGCACACTGTCAGCCATAATACTACTAAGGTATACGCATTAATAAATCTTTTACGAATGTTAATGTTCTGTTAGAACCAAAATGCTTTAACACAATAAGTACAAAAGACGCATTCAAGTATTTAGTGCACTATTTGTTCTCCAAAGTGCAATAAAGGTCAAATAAATCCGTCCCAAAACAAAGATGCTTCCAGAATTTAAACCCTCAAGTAATGTCCCTATCTGTAATTGTTCACAGTTGATTTAACTATCCAGCTATTAAGAAACAGTACTTCCAGTGCATCCTCCATTTTAATCCTGGATAGTGGGGGGAAGAGGGGAAGCTGATAAACCGTTGTTAAGATAAATAATGAGGAAGCACTGGACACACAGAGCTTTGAGACGGCTATCCCCACATATGGCTTATAAATCCAGAGATAAAGGAGTGAGAGAAAATACTTTAGTTGCGTCCACCGCTTTTTTCATTAATTAACTGATTGAATTGCAGCTACTATCTACTATTTATTTGTTTGTATGACTTCGACTCCCCACAGACAGAGACTTTTAGTCGGCTGATAGTTTGGCCGGCTTCTAATTTGAATGAGGAATCGGCCGATAGCAAATCGGTGCAATGTGCGTTATTCCATACCTGTTCGTGAAAGGATATAAAAATAATTATTATGTAAATGTGACATTTCTATGGGACAACTGTAAAATATATTTGATTACAAGATCTATCGAAAAAAATTAAAGAACTCAATAACCCGAAATGAAACTAGAATCAAGCAACTAGCCAAGATCTCATGTCGTCTTCACGATCCATTTAAGTATAAGAATTTTGTCGATGTTTCGGACCATTACGCGTACATAAAGTTTGAGTACCCATCTTGTCAGCTGATATCACAATATTTTCTTGTACTCTTAGTATAGTTTTACCAGGAAACAATATTATATTCCGCCCTAAAAGGTTCAGAGTAAAACACACAAACTTGATCCGACGATTGATCTCTTGGCTCCGTTTGGCCAAAATAATATTTACTTCTGGATCTGAGTTGTGTAAGTTAAACAAAACTGATGAGCTTTTCGTAAACATTTCCGATAGAAAATAAACCTTTTCAATTAATAATTTTTGAGACAGTTTTTTCACTGAAAACAATACAGGGAATTATAATACGATCCCCATAAAAAACGGGTTTCAGCTAACGATGCGTGTGTGTAACGATAAATATGTTTTTGTGGCTAACTGATGGGAAACATTAATACAATCCCGTAAAGCGGTTTGAAGCTGGATGCGTGTGACTTTTCGTTCGTTCGTTCCTTTCAGCCACTGCTTGACAAAGGCCTCACCCAAGGATTTCCACAAAGAACGGTCCTGCGGTCATTGAGAGGGGCACATAGCTCGCAGAGCTGATGGCCGCAGGGGCAGAAAAGTTTTCGAGTGGCGACCACGAGCCGGAAGAAGTAGTGTGGGCAGGCCTCCCACTAGGTAGACCGACGATCTGATGAAGGTCGCCGGAGGTGCCTGTCTTTGTGTGACTTTTCACGCAACGATAAATATAATTTAACTGCCAAGAGTCCCCGCTGACTCCAGACTTTTCCGAGGCGAGGCTATAGTAATAAAGTTGTGTATAATAAATAATTTAAAAGCTGCTATCCCATAAAATTGTTTTATGAGTCACTCATGTATCTAGCTACCTATTTAAATACACTCCTGGTATACTCTTGATAAGCGTCAATACCAATTATTAGTAAGCAATTCAAAAGGAAAATTGTTTTCTCAATCTTTTATCGTATCTAAAAAGACTCCAAGCGGAAGAATTTATAAAATCCACTTTATTATTTAATTTCCGATAATGGACTCATTCTCCAGTTTAAACTTATAACATCTACAGGATTGACATATAATCTGCAAAAGCACTTTCCTATAATGAACATCTGATCCCCTTTTAGTGATGAGAAAGGCTTTTTCATTTTAAGACTCAAGGAAAATCTTACGGTTCTGTGTGATAGAACCGGTTTTATTTAAAATCTATATATATATAAAAGAAAGTCGTGTTAGTTACTTGGCTTATAACTCAAGAACGGCTGAACCGATTTAGCTGAAAATTGTCAGGGAGGTAGTTTAGAGCCAGGAGAAGGACATAGGATACTTTTTATCCCGTTCGAAATTAAAAAAAAGTCTGCTTATTTATTGCCATTAAGGCGGAACAAAGTTCGCCGGGTCAGCTAGTATATCCAATAAAAATTACCTTGAAAGATATTTTACATGAGGCTATTAAAAAGCTTATCCTTTGAAAATGATGTTATTTTAATTTTTACACAGCGCCATCTAGTCCCAAATAAGTGCACTTTAAAAAACTAATACAACTATTGCATATTTATTATAATTATACTACGTAGATATGTACTTAGTAAATAACATAAAAGGCAACACCCTAGGTAGACATAAGCACTGAAACCATTTTTCGTTCAAGTATCAAACCCGCTATATCAAGCACAGTAGTCAAGCTTTTTTAGTTTTAGTAGTTCAAACCACTGACTTTTAGTTGAGTCGGGCTAACTCGGCCTGTTAATCAGTATGGCCACATTCACATATCAAAGTGCGCACATTACACCAATTTGATATCGGCTAATTCTTCACAAAAATTAGAATCGGGCCAAACTATCGGCCAACTAAAACTTCGTGGTCTATGCCTAGCCTTAGTGCTACCTGTGAAATAAATGAGTGATATAATTTAAATACTCACAGTAAATGTTGAGTGGCAATTTAGTCTCGATCATCGATCTGTTGAACTTCGTGTGCTCCGCTCTGCAGGTTAGGATCAATTCGTTGTGCTCCTTCAGAGGGGTCCATAGAAGTAAGGACTGGGTCTCATTGCCGTCTTCTAACTCCTGGTAAACCAAAAAATACAGTCAGTATTTAAATGTGTGCAATTAAAAATGTCTATCAACATTACAGCTAAACGATTACGCTAAAAAACACGCAAATAGTATGAAGCACTTAGATAAGATTTTTCAAAATTCATCCCCTAAAGGGATGAAACGTGATTAAAACCGCGTTCGAAAGCTATTCCATTGATAAACTGTTTCATGTCCCAGTAAACAAGTCATTAAAACACTTTTTAGAACAAATAATACGCAGACAATTCAAAAAACTAGTTTAATTAAGTTCAAAGCGGAGAGACCGATAAAACTGCATAATAAATCCAAACAAGGCATTTCAATGCTGATTCACTCGCATTAAACTTTGATACTGCTACGGAAATAGCATTCGTTGCATGTTCCCGTTTTATTTTAGTTGCAACAATTGCCTTAACGAGTTCTTTGGATTTTTTTATGTTAAAGTTTTCATAACTTAAATAGCTACAAGGAAAGAGACTAAATTACTTTTTTACCGACTTTCTACAACCCAAAAGAAAGAGAATAGTGTTCGTCGTCGAATAAAGACGGATCGATAAAAAGAACACGTCTCTGTACTGCGATAGAATAATCACATCCGTCTGTGTTTGATTCTGTAGCTTCGATTTATGAATTTTGAAAAATAAAAATACGAGTAATTTATAAAAGAGCTACCTTAGTTTAATGCCCAAAAACATTAGACGGCTGGAGACATACGCCGTTGTTCGACGACGACGACAATTTATCTTTGCTCATTTTATTCGTAAGTCTTACTTGCTTTTATGTTTTTCTTATTTTAATCTTTATGAGTCTCATATTTCCTTAATTTTAATTCAATTTTTTTTTGTTGTAGATAAATTCCTGTCTAAAATGAATGCTCATTTTTTGGTGCCTAGTTTTCATTTACCACGATGTTCTTGTCTTTGTTTTCTGATTTTATTGAATGAATTTTATAACTAACTTTATCAGCTATTCATATACAGCAAAAGACATTAAAGTTTTACCATCAAAACGCGTTTTAAACGCGTTCCATTAGACGTTCTATCGCTGAACTACAGCCCTGAGCTGTGTCGTACCATGACGGTAAACGAACGTCGCAGCACAATACAACTAAGGGTGATATAACGCGGTGCTTTAGCGCTTTGATACGCGCTAAGAAATCATTCTGCTTGGCAAATCCTTGATTTATTTACAAGCCAAGGAAGGCTAAGAACGCCATGACATGGCGTGATTATCACCCGCGCCCGCGGCGGTTGCGGGCCCGCAGCTTCTGTAGAATGCAGATAATTATGTAAAAACTAATGCACAACTCACGACGTGAAAACCGCCTGATCGGCGGGCGACCATTTTGTACCAGTGACTTAGGACGATGAGTTCTTAGAATAACCGCGTAAATAACCACTGCCGTGAGTTTTGATATGGAAATAAAAACGCAATTCCACAACAGCCGCGGGCGCGGGTGAAAATCGCGCCGTGAGTTCTTAGCCGAAATGTTTCACTATAAAAGATACTTCGTTTGTTTCAGCCAAATGACGTCCACTGCTGGATAAAGGCATCCCCCAAGGTTTTCCACAATGAACGGTCCTGCGCTGCCCGCATCCAGGCTCTTCCCGCGACCTTTATTACCAGATCGTCGGTCCACCTAGTAGGAGGCCTGCCCACGCTACGTCTTCCTTATAAAAGATACTTACTCGATGTTTATTGACAGACTTGAGCTGCTTCCCTCCCAGCCACCACGTGATGGTCGCCGGTGGTCTGGCGCCGGTGGATCTGCACCACAGCTCTGTCTTCCGACCAACTGATAGAGGCTGCTCTCTTGACAGGATCTCTACCGTTAGCGGCCTCACTGGTGGAGAAAAAAAAAGATCAAAATTATGAGTCATATAAAAAAGTTAATGCACACGCTTATGGTATAGAAGTGACAGTATCCCGATTGTGTCGGTGTCGGACTAGTCGAATCGAGATCAGTTGAACGCGGGTTCGAACCTCGCCGCCGCTGGACTAACACTCGTAGCACAACCATATTTAGCTTACCACGAGGGGTTAACAAGACTATTATTAATAATTATTGTCTTTGTAATTAGTAAAAAAGTAAAAAAAGTAACCACTCTGATTTCCTGACTACTAAACGACAGATCTTACAGCTAACTTTAATGAAGGCGTTTATTATTGCTACGAATGATTTTCGCATAAAATCTCACAAAGACAATAAGTATTCCTATTTTTTCAGCACTCAAAGACAACACGCGAAACAAAAGAGAAAGCTGTCACAAACGCCTGTCGATCACAGAAACGAAAAAATATTTGCGTGAAATCCAAAAACGGGCGTGAAACAACCGTCAGTTCCCATCCAGTCGGGTCCAGAAGCTTTGTTTCCAATAAAACAAATTGCTATCAGTACAGCAAAACACATTTTGTCGTTCACGTCAAGGATCTAAACCAATAATCGGGACGGGAAGGGAAACAGCGGAAAGGTATTTGTTGTTACGCACACCCACTTGCTTGTCACGCTTTGTTTGTAGTACTGGAAAGAAAATATTGTCGGAACGGCGGAGCCGATTTTGTCACAGCGAAGGGAGGAAACTCAGTTCACTTACGTGGGATCGAGGTACGAGTAATGATGAGGAAAGAACTGTCTATTATCCATATTGTCGTCGACCTCGTAAGTCGAATTTTTACCAAAAACACTTTTTAATGTATTATGAAAACCTCTCAGCTCACATTTTGAGCTCACCTATATTCGAATGTTTCTATTAAACATCAAAAACTGGGAACAGGTTTAATTAAAAAATATTCAGGAGACGGTTTTTTGTCTCTTCTGAAAAAAATGTTTTCAGCACTGCCGATGTTTTCACTCGTTAACGACGATAAATAGCCTTAGTCTGATAGAGTTATGGAGGAATTTTACTGAAAAAAAAAATGTTAGACTTGAGGAAAATAAACTTTGGATTTTATTTAATTGCACAGCCATTTTAGAAATAATGTTAAATGAAAAGTTAAAATCATGGATATAGCATGGGAAAATATAACATAGATATTCTACTACCATAAAAAAGGCTTCTGATTATTCTACATTTTAATATGATGTAAACTAACTAATCTGTGTGATTTACTTATTGCCTTTAATAATAATATTTTAAAGTCACAGCAAATTATCACAATAAATTAAAAAAATGAGCGGGCTGTTTTCTTGCAGCTGTATTTGGGGGTTCGATTTTTTATCGGATCTTGAGTGGAGTGTCTATCAAACATTTAATGAATGAAACCCGGAGACGCTTCGGAGGGATCAATGGATTTGGAGACAACATTATACGATTTTTGCGACCTTGACTTTCTTTGAAGGCATTTATATCGTATCTGTATTTTTTTTTATGAAATTACATTCTCCAAAGAGCAGGTGTATTCTCTGAATGAAGCGTGTTGGTATTATAATAAGTTCACTATTTATTTGACAAGCAGACTTTTTTGTTGATTTGAGACCAGTCTCATTAGATAAGGTATTTTGTTACTCGCAGTAACACAAATATCGTATATACTGTAGTTAATTAGAAGATAAATTATTATTCAGTAAGTGAATATAAACGATGAGAGAGTAATAATCTCGATAAAACAACCTTGTCGACTTTCACTACAATTAGGAAAAATACTTGAAATTATATTATGATAATTATACGAAATTCGAACGTAGGGACACAATCGCAAACGATTACGTATCGGTTATTTTTTTTATTCTCATACTAGAGATGTTCACATTATTTGCCAATCAATCCAGTTCGGTAACACTTGTTTGCAGTTTTCAAAGGCTATTCTATAAATAACCTTAACTATGACGTAAAAAGCTCAAAACTCAATACTCACAATACAAGTCTACTCTAACAGTAGTCTTCAGCGCTGACGTAAGCAGCGTATTGTCAGCTGCGCACGTGTATACCGAAGACTGGTGCGCACGCGTCGCGTTCCTGACCACGAGGGTCAATGTCCTCGTAGGCCCCGAGGGTTGGAGGTCGCTGGCACCTAGCGTTGCTAGCACTAAATCCCCTTGCAGCCACTGGACTCTTGGGACTGGACTTCCTGGAGAAAAAAAGAATCCTGATAAGAATCAACAGTATTTGAAAAGAGTTGTACAGTCGCGGAATGAAAAGGTTCGTCACCGTAGTGTCGGTTTTCGCTTGCACTAGGTACTGTAAGAGTCAAACCTGCCAACATAACCGTGCAAGAAACAGTGCTGCTAACATTTAAATAAATATGACGTTTGCTAACGAATGAGGTTTTGCTTGTTTATTTTTCTATCCCATCAGTGCAATGTTACAAAATGTAGTTTTTTTTTTAATAGATAATGGCAGGTTGAACCAACAAGAAGGTTTTAGTTTGTCAATCATAATAATCTTCTTGACAAGTTAAATCGTCAAACAACTTTGATCTGAATAATTTTGAACTTTACTGGCGAACAGTTAAAGATTATTTTCTCTAACTCGAGATTATTCTGTAACATAGTTTCAAAAGGTAATATGTGCTCACGATTCGTTGAAGGAATCAATTTGAAAACTGACGAACCTTTTCATTCCGTGACTGTACCTAGAAGAGTTACGCCCGTATTCACAAACATTACTATGAGGTCTCACAGTGCGCGTGGACGCATAGAGTCACAAACTGACCAATCACAGAGCTCTATTCAACGCTGTGCGTTAGATTTTCTGCTTCACTTAAGCAAGCATCGTTCGTTTGTGAATGCGGACGTTAGTCTTTTTCAATTGCTAAACAAGCGAGCAAAGTTTGAACCATATTTTGTTCATCATGTTTTGTTTGCATTTTGTAAGGCATCAATCTGTACTGTACATTGTAGCATGTTGTAAGTTGTTATAATTATAAGCCTTATTCTGATACAAACATGAAGTTCAGTTCGGTATAATGGCAACTATCCATTGAAAATTTTACGAAGTTCTTTGAAAATAATTGTCTTTTAATTTCAAATAATATTTTTGTTAAAGTGAGCAATCAAAATCAATAAAGTTGCCGTGCGCTTCACAAAAATTTTCCCTAAATCTCAACATGAAATATGTTCAAAATTAAATTCATAAGTACATTATTTGTCCCGAGCGGAGCCTTAGAACAGCAAATTGAATTGCAAGGATGAAAAACAACGGACTGCAGAAAAAACAAAGTAAAAGATACACCATCAGGATGATTGACAGCGTAGGAGCATCTGGCACAAGTACAAACGCAATACTAAAACTCATCATTTATTCTTTGTCCTTTTCCCGTGCTCCAATCAAATTATATCCCTTGTGAAGACAAAGTGCTGGAATGCGTAAAAGGAACACCCGGAACGGTAATGTAAACAGGGCCAAGTTTTGAACGTACCGTTCCGTTAATTAAGTAGCTTTGAAAAAATAGCTTCAAATCATTGTAATTCAAATTTTCTCTGATTGTTTGTTGCACTCTTTGCCGGATAAAACGCGGGCACTCTTTGAGAAGATGGAGTATATTCTGGACAGCATTTGGGTCGCAATTACACTTATCGGTCGCGACTATCTTGAACTGATATTATTGTCGGTGACAGTCGTGATAAGTAAGAATTGAGCTAAAAGTTGGCTGATGCTGTTCCAGGTTTGAAAACCAGTTGCGGGTAGCAATTATCTGACACTAACTGAAAACTGGTTATATAAATCAGGTAAGAATATAATGTTAAATTGATTTTTTACTAAAATTTGGCCTCCTTCTCTACCGTGCGCCCGTCCCCCCAAAACAAAACATGGACTTACCTCCATTTACGGAGCAAATAAGCTTGAAATCTCCTCCCTCGTTGTAGGGACCAGCGATTCCTGTGATCTCCTTGCCGTATTCATCGAAGATCACCGGTTTGCTCGGCAGCTCTGTGAACAAAAATCAATATTATAACGGGTTCAGCTGTTTTGATTTTATGTATAATTTCGCCTTTGAAGTCTATTTTCAAAACCATTCATCAATTTATTTTGTTTATTTCCAAAAGATCATTGAAATCATTGAGCCAAATGGTGGGTTTGTACCTACATAACATCGCGATATGTTACATCATTATGAGTTATGATTTACATAATTACGAGTAGTTACTGATGTTGTGTGATTTTCATAGAACTTTACTTTCATGAACTGTGGGTTAGGTATTATCTGCGATAATTATTGATTTGCAAATTAGGAGCTTGGGACGTCCACCCACGAGGTGGACCGACGACCTCATAAAAGTAGCAGAAATGCGCTGGATGCAGGCCGTAGGTTGGTAGCGGGCGATATGGAAATCATTGAGGGAGGAATATGTTCAACAAAGGAAGTCCTTTGGCTGAAATTATGATGATGTTGATAAAAATAATACATACTTCTAATGGTCGTCGAAATAAGTCATAATTATGATAAAACAGTGTTATACCTAGTTACTAATATTTGTTATGTCTTGCTAAAAGCTGTATTTTTTCAGCCAATTTAAAAGACAACATTGTTGTTTAATTTTAGTTCGTGTATTACGGCGTGAAACGTAATCATAACAACAAACGTCCCTCTACATACGGTCTGTTAGCTTACTAAATATTTCCAAAGAGAAAACGTGTTATTAGTAAAGTTTCTAGTGCACGGTTAATGTTGTTTTAATGAGCTCTCAATGTACGAACTAAATATGAAAATCAATTTAGTTCACAAGCTCAATGGAGTAATAGCAACCATTGTTCCGTTGTAGGCAAAATTTACGTCCCACTGCATTGTTAAACTATTAGGGAAATTAATTACTATTTACATGGTCTAAATATTAAACCGTTAATGTCGTAAACGGGATATTAATATTAGAAGCAATTCTGATTACCTTTTACTTAACAAATAGGTACAACGGGGGAAGAAACAGAGTAGGTGAGTATACATACACTAGCTTTCGAGTTAACTGTACGTAGTTCATGTTTAGAAAAGTTCACACAATCTTTTCTTTTTTTATGATTATTAGTAGGCCTAGGTAATTTGTAGGTACCTATTGCACAAATAACTAATAGTCCCGTTAGCCCCTCGTACTAAGCTAAATATGAAATTAGTGTGCTCACCACGATAGTCGAGCGGCTGCGGGATTCGAACCCGCGTTCCTCGGTTTTCGAGTCGGCTAGTCCGACCCCTTCACCGTTCGGCTATCGTGGCTTCAATCAAATCTTTAGCTATGTGTATAGGAGTATTTCTAGCATCTTTAGAGACCAAAACTCAACGTTTATCAGCTTCGCGTCGTCTTAATTTGCATCGGACCACATTACGAGGATCGAGATGTACGTACCAAATTTTAAATTGCGTTTAAAACAGCAAACCGAAACCGCCATATTTAAATAGGCCTCTCATTTTGCTGTGTTATGTAAATGCCGTTCTATTTCCCCATGAAAATTTATTCACAATCAAAACGAAATCAGCGAGCGGCAAGAGGCATCTTTGAATAAACAAACTAGATGAGAATGTGGTGAGGAAATGAAACAGTTTTCGTTCGAAACAAAAGGTTTGCGATATGAGCATTCAGAGTCGGATCTCCGCAATCAAGCGGAGGTTTCATATCCATTCTCAGCTATCGCTTACTGGAATGAACAGCTGGTAGCGTTCATTGTTTTGTACGTTCCGCATAAGTGCGGACGGCTGAAATGAGAATTTTACCCCCGTTCCAGTAAACGGGGTTGGGTAAGTGGCGTATAAGATGTAATAACATGATTCGATAATGCGTTACGCTTGGAACAGCTGTTGACATCATTTGGTAAACAAAAAACATGGTTATATCCGCTCGTGTTATTTTTATTTGTATTTAAGTGGCCCTTGTTTAACCTTAATAAATTTATAATATGTAGAGTTAATCTGAATATGTCTTTTAGGATAGGTACTTCATAATTGGTAAAATGAAAGATGGTTAGTCACTCGCACACTAAAATAACGCAACTCCGTCGACTTTAAGCTCGTTAATTTGTTTTATAATCAAATCATGTACATAATATCATGAAACAAACTTGATTCTAAACGGTATAAATAACCTGACAAAATCTTAATTCCTTTGTATCTTAAAATATGCTTACAATTTCTATTTATAATCTTGGAAAAATATCAATTTATGACCGACAATTCCTCGTTCAATCCACGCTCCATTTAAGCAATTCCAAGAAATCAAACCTAAACGGTCGACTAAAGACAAAATATAAAACATTACCACCAAAAGTTAAAACATGCCTCGTACATTTTCAAACACCTTTTATTCTTGTCAATAAAAAAGTTATGAGGGCCAAAGTTATATCCGAGGGTGATCCGCGAAAGTTCCTTATCTCGATTTCACGTAGGTTTAACGGGATTCATCTGTCAGTTTTGTTTAAGCCAACAAAGAGGAAACCAAGTAGCTGGAAACTTGACGCTCTCAGTAAGATGAACTCATAGTTTAATATTAGTTTTGAGATGTTTATTAGGTACATTTTAGACCTCACTTTGCCTATAGAGCTGATGGTCAAAACAATGACACGGGTAGAATTAATATTTTGTTTGTTAAAATGTATGTTGAATTTGTTCACATAACAAATATTGTTTAACAATAATCATCTTCTCAATAGATCTATAACAACAGGTTTTTTTTTTATTTAATGAGAAAAATAATATCCTCAGTGTGCTTCCTTGAGTTTACGTTAGAGGTGTGCTCGCTAGCGAATAGGTACGTCAAAATAATCTATTAACCCTTAAGTAACATCCTTATTTTTGGTTACACTCTGAACACCCTGGGGCAAAAAATTACCCCAAACGGAAATTGAAAAATTTTAAGTAAATATTTAAAATCAATTTAATTTTGTGATTTACAATGTATTAATGGACTCACTGAATTATACGGTTGCTTTAGAAGAACGTCTATCAAGCGTAAAGAAACACCTTAAATCAATCATAACAAAAAACAAATAATTTGTCATTGGCAACCAATAGTCTCCACAATGGTCTTCTAGAAAAATCTTGGAAAGTTATTGTGGGAACCAAAAACTTACACTAATCGGACATTAAATAGATGTTTTATGCATATTTTAAACACAAAATGCAATAAAACGAAAATTTCTGGCTTTATAATAGAGCAAAATAAAAAACTTATTTTTTTATAAAATTATGAAAAAAATACTAAAAAATATTTTTTATTTATTTTATTCCTAATTATTTTTTTCAAAACACATCAGACACCCTGAATTACTACGTAATTATCACTTTTGAGCCCTATTTCTGTGTCGAATTTATGAACGCTCTGTTCTGAGGGGATGTCTGTCAAAGTTCGAAAAGTATCATGTAAATCAAGCTCTAATTATCTCTCTGCATTCTGGAGACAATGTGCTACTAAATCGTCATATAAATATTTTACTCATTTTGTTTCAATGTTGTAAAAACCTATTATTAACATGTTAGGTGATGATAAATTAAAGTATGCGTAACTAACACCCTGGGGTAAATTTCTGCCCCATCAACCTGTACAAGTCAAACGGATGATTTTTTTCACATCCCGCATCTACGAGCTTAAAGCGCACACTTTGAATTGAGAATACACAAAACGACATTGCACTAGCTACGCTAGAAAAAAAGATATGTCAACTTTTATGCGCCTGGGGTAAAAAATTACCCCACGGTGTTACTTAAGGGTTAAGATTTTATATCTTGAAAGTAGCCGCTAGAGGCGCTGCACAATATGTCACACATTTAATGTCATTTACGCAGTCGCTAGCGAGCACACCTAACGTAAACTCATGGTAAGCACACAGATCCATTTGTAGTGACTAGAAGTTATGGTGTATCAATTGATAATATAATTATTATCATCTCATTAAATCTACGGTTGATCTCGTTGGAAAACAAAATCTTAGTAAATCCATAATGGATCTTATGAGAGAGAAGGTACCGTTCCTGAAGTAAATTTATAAATACATTATATTATTCTGAAATCACAACAGGTGAGACCATCACGTTCTATCCGAAGTACACAAGATATGACAATTCTTAGCTTAATGTGATGGCCGACCCTTTTGTCTCGTGTATAGGTTCATTGATTTTGGATTTCAATTCAATATAAAAGCCGTAGCCCAAGGATTTTATTCGCAGAAACGAAAAATCGTTTAACTATGCAAAGTCCCCAGATCCTATCTGTCACGTGGAACTCCCGGAATTCACGTGGCAGGGAGGTGTCTGTGTTAAAACAGACAGTGATCGCACTCACTTGTACAGACGGCACATCGAACTACCCATCTATTTATACTAATACTGAAGAGTTTGTTTGTTTGTTTACTTGAACGCGCTAATCTCCGGAACTACTGGTCAGAATTCTTTTAGTGTTAGATAGCCAATTTATCGAGGAAGGCTATAGGCTATACAACATCACGCTACGATCAATAGAAGCAGAGCAACAATGAAAATGTTGCGAAAACGGGTTTTCACGCCTACGAAGTCGCGGGCACAGCTAGTTATGGTATCTAATGTAGTTTAATAAAAGCGATTTCGTAACAAACTTTATTGGAATTTGTGTATGGATGGACGATGTGATTTGAAGAAATGTAACAGCCACGCAGATAAGGATATTAGAGTTGTAGTCTATTCATTACGCCCGTATTCACAAACATTACTATGAGGTCTCACAGTGCACGTGGATGCACAGGGTGACTAAACAAATCACAGAGCTCTATTCAAAGTGCGTTCGATTTGCTTTACTTAAGCAAGCATTGTTTGTGAATACGGGCGTTAGAATGTTATCAACGTGACCCCATCAAAGTGAAGATGTCTGAAGTGGAGATGAGATTTGTGAAATCGTGAACACCGTCAGTTTATAATAGTACCTACTTGAGATTATAGACCAAGGCTGGCACCACCTAACTTTAACGGTAACTATGAC